GGGAATAAAACATAAAAATGTCTGTCTTTGTGGCATTATGTTCTAGAGGAGGGCAGAAAATAAACAAGGACAATATATAGTCAGTCAGAGAAAAATGCAAAGGAATGAAATGAGGCCTGCAATGGGGCAAGAAGCTCTAGGGGAAAAGGACGAGGTAAAGAAGATGATCAAAAAGAGCCTTTGCTAAGGAAGTGACATTTGTGCAGAAATCTGAAGGATGTGAGGAGCCAGTCACACAGCTATCTGGGGAGCAAGCCACTCCATGCCACAATAGAGCCTGTGCAAAGTCATTGCAAAGGACCCCAAAGGAGAGCAAGCCTGGCATATGGAAGTAACCACAAGGACAGGTGGAAGCCAGGAGAGACCTGAGGGCAGAGGCCACAGGAAGGACTTGGGATTTTACCAGAATGAGACAGGAAAGTACCTGTGCAGAGAAGTTAACTGACCTTGCTTAGCTTTTTAAAAAGCAAAAACAACTGCTGCATTGAGAAAAGTCAGCAGTGGCCAAGAGCAGAAGCAGGGGCACAAGTAGGGAGACTGGCAGAACTGCCCAGCAGAAGAGGCCAGTGGCTTGGCTAATGCGTGGGCCACTGAGGTGCGAGATTTGGGTGAAGTCTGCAGGTACTCTGAAGGTGCAGCCCACAGCAGTGCAGAGAGGACTTCCCGTAACTCAAATAATGGAAGTATCATGATGGAGATTATAAGAAAAGCAAACTTCAGAGAGGAGGAGCTAGAGGTTGGTTTTCTGAAGATATTAAGTTTCAGCGGCCTTTTATATTGAAGAGCACTATCTACCCAGGAAGCACTGGCTATCTGCCAGGTCCAAAATACTGTAGATAGTTGAATATGACACTCTACACTATTGTAATTAGAATTATTCTAATAAAGTCTTGCAAGTGCTCATCTCTTTCACAAAGCAAGAAACCTTTGTGTATATACTATACTATAATAGTCCCTTGCTAAGTAGTCCTGAACTCCCTTCTCCCCTTGAGGTTTGTGGGTATGACATCTTATTTGCCCATTTCAAAGGGATTAAATGCCTCCCTTCCCTACCTTACCATATCCCCAAGTGGCAACCATGTGGTTGCCAGCAGAGAATAGCTCAGTTGCTCTTGCAGCACATTTTAAGGCAGATGGAAAAAGCCTTCACTGTGAAATAGAAATATCTCAAAGACAACCTGGCTCCAGGGCACCCCAAGAGAGTAGGGTCACCTAGATGAGAACACTTGGCCAAATGCTTCAAGGCATCACCTTACATGGCACACATCAATGTAGTGCCATAACACAGGACTCTCACGTAAATATGTTAAGAAACACCCTTTCCAGGAGTAGGACAATAAATTGTCTAACCCTAAAGGGGCGGGGGGCAATAAAGATGGCTTTACATGGAAGCAAGTGGCAGATGCCTAATTAACACATTTGCAATTAGTTTGGCTTGTTCTGTGATTCCTTTCTGCAAATAATAAGATGGAAGAACATATCAGTTCTTGGCAACCTAGTTCTAAAAAAACTTTCAGTGTCACCATCACTATTTTATCCTGCTGTGAAAAAGCCAAGTCCCTGTATACATAGTAAACAATCTGACTTACCCCTTTGTTCAAAACAGCATTTCCTTTCATTTCATATGGAAATACAAAACCATTTACTTTTAAAGCATGAATATTTACTTTAAATTTAATACATGTTCTTAATTTAGATGTTTTTATTCAACAAAGATAAGTCTTCCTAATCCTTGCTATCCTGATTCAATATATGCAACTTCACTAGTTTACTGTTAGCTTACTCAGCACACAAATGCTGTTTTTTACAATGCTTTTTCTTTTCTTTTCTTTTTTTTTTGGTACCAGGGATCGAACTTGGGCCCTTGCGCTTGCGCAGCAGGTAGTGAAACCACAGAGCTAAATCCCCGGCCCTACAATGCTTTTTCTAACAATACTTTTCTATTAAGTTAGAAAATCATTGAACTTTGAAAGAACTTGACTTATTTACCACATTGTGATAATCACTTAATTGAAGGTATAGACATTTTTCACATAGGAAAAATAAAAAAGTATGCGCTAAGTGGAGAAATGTGAACAAGGTGTGACTATTTCATTCATTCATTTATTTATTCAAGCAATGTTTACCTGAGTGCTCTTTGCCAGGTCTTATTCATTTTTACCCTATTTTAACTTAGAGTTTTTGTCCACTCAGTACAGAGGACTCCTGAGATGGTGAGTTGGGGTATCTGCTTAACATTTACACATGTAGACTGTAGATAGTATTGAGAACGTGGCACATTTTTAAAGCGGGATAGCTGCAAAACATAACACACTGGGAAGATTGCCACCCTTAAACTTCAAATAAGAAAATAGAATGCCTCTTCACATCATGACAAAAAATTCATAAAACAAAATTAAGATGTTAAATCTGCTGTTCATTCTTCTTTGACTTAGAGTGGTTTGGAAAATGCCTGATTCAAAAATGTCTAAAACCAAAGTACAAATGGAGTAGGGCTTACTCAAGATTCAAATAAATTACCATATAAACAAGTAGGGGTAGACCAATTACTTTTTAACAGATAGCTCAGGTTAATAGGTAGAGACACAGTTCTGCCACTATATTTAAGGTTAGGTTAATAATTAATTTTGGTGCCTGCAGTAGTTTAATCAAAGCTTACCGTAAATGACTAAACACAAAATTTTTAAAAAACTATACAAAAGGCTTCCAAATCTTGACCTCTGCTAGCTATCTGGGTAAGGCGTAAAAAAAAATGTAGAATATTTTCATTCAGAATTGAACACAAGTGTCTTTATCTCTGGGGGAAAGCAAAAAGATTAATGTATTCTGAACCACTAATTTTCCCCTGCTCTTCACAGTACCAGACGGTTGACCTCATGCCCAAAATGTATGTCCACCAGGGGAAAAAAGACCGACAACTATCAGGGTTAAAGAAAAGCAAGGCATAGGAACTGGATCTTCCTACCAAGAAAGACTTGAAAGCCAGTGCTAGGGAACATTAAACAGCTTTTCGGGGACCTGCCTGCACATACAGCACCTAGGTTAAATGGCTTTTCAGACTTGAAGCAGAGAAAGTTGCGCATGTAAGTGTGAGAGCGTGCTTCTGGGTCTGTCCTCAAGCGCCTCAAGTGTTAAACCTTTCCTGAGTAGCAAGTCGATTTCTAGGAAGGGTAAACACGGAGCGCCCCCTCTGTGGCAGTACTTGGCCATCGCACTCCCAGAGGAGACCCGGTGCGCAACAGCCCCTGGGCTGCCCGGGGCCACACAGGCTGGAGGCTGCCCCTGAAATGGCTGGTCCCGGTAAGAAGGCAGCACCTTTGGTCTCGCGTCCCTCACTGGCTCCCGCGCACCTGGCTCCGTTCTCCTCCTCCCTGGACATCCCCTCAGGAACAACGCACACGGGCGCAGGAGGCTCAGAATGCGACACTGGCAGCTGGACAGTTGCAAGCCAGCGAAACCCGGGCCTGGGTCCCTTGCATTCTCGCACCGGCCCGTGTCACCATGTCACACCAGCATCCCGAGATCTGCCCTATACTCATCCCATTAACCCTTCCCCCACTGCTTGAGAGACTGGTCCAGCAGGTAGCGCGGGGCCAGGAGGCTCCTCTCCAGCGGGCCTGACCGGCTCCCGGCTACATCCCGGCTGTCCGCACAATCCACTCCGGTCCGGTTTCCCGCAGACTGAGCACGCTGAGCTCCAATCCTGTCGTGCCCGCCGCCCTCGGAGAAACTTTCCAAAACAGCCTGGCTCAGAAACCCACGCTGTAAGGGGAGGAGGCGCCAGGAGCAGGGGCCGGATGGAGCGGAAAAATGTGGGGGTCGGGTTCCTTTCCCGGCACCCTGAAGTCCGGGATAGCTCCATGGCTCGCTGTGTGCAGCTCCAGGGGGTAGGGGGTGTCAGGATCCTGCCTGCAAGGTCTCCCACAGTGGAGAACCAAGAGCAGAGACGCTCCGCGTCAGGGTCAGGCAGGGTGGGCATTGCCCAGCTTGCTCCCCGGCGCCCCGCCGCCGCCAGAGAGGCAGCTCAGGGGTGTGTGGAGGAGCCGGACATCCTCAACTTGGGGCTGGGGAAGCGTCTCCGTGTGAGTGGCAAGCCCGGAGCTATCTCACGTCAGGTCTCCCCACCCTTCCCCCCGGGACCCCCCTCTCCAAAGAGGGACATACAAAGCTTGGAGGAGGTGCATCAGGCACCAGCCCCAAAGGGGAGGACTCGGGGCTTGAGCGGGACGCAGCGGACAGGGAACCTGCCACTCGGCTGAGAGCTGAGGTGGGGACTGGACTGAGAGCCAGGGCACTGCGAGATACCGAGTGGCCGCCCTGGGTGCTCATTCGAGCAAACAAAGCCCGGAACCTCTGGTGCCAGTAGCCACTGGAGCAGGGATCTCACCAAGAGGCAGGCGCGGGTGCCAGGGCCATTACAAGTTTCCCGCACTCCAGGGGGCCCAGCCCCGACAACAAAAGATTCTCTTCTCCTCCCCATGGTCTCCGTGGGAGCCTTTCCTCCATCCCAGAACCCAAACCTACGGCTGGAGGAAAACAGCGGGGTTCTACCTAGCCTCTAGTCCTTTAGGGCAGAACCCCTTCCTGGCGGTCCACACCAGAAGGGAGCGCTCAAAGAATCCCACCCTCCCGGACCCACTCTGCTCCCTGCTGGCCAGAGAGTGAGGACTAGCCTCGGACCCGCACACGGCCTGGGCAGGGCAGCCTTCCTCTTCGTGTCGGTCCGGGGCGGCGCCGGGCGTGTACGAGAGGCGGGTGGGGAAGGTCGCACCGCGGAACTGGCTATCTCTGGGGCGCACGGCGTAGAGGAGCGGCAGGCAGGTTCAGGACTGCTCCCCCAGGACTGGGCATCGCTCGGGGGGCAGAAATATGAGACAAAATAAAACGCAGGCACTACAAAGCCCACAGCGAGCGCGGGAGGTGGTCTCAGCCTAGGACCCTCGGGCGGGAGGGAGCCCAGCGGCTCAGGATGTGGGCGCACGGGGACGCCCGGGCCGTACCTTTTCGGTGCATCGACGGGCAGGCAGCCGGGTTTCGAACAGACGGGTACGGAGTGTATCCCATTTAGTAATCCATTATCGAGGAGATTTCTCCGGGCCTCGAGCTGCGCTCTCTGCTTTGCAAGCCTTTGTCATTCCTACATGTGTGCTAGTCTCTTTGGGGGCAACAGTCGCGTCGTCTACTTTCTGGGATGCAAGCGAGCTGCGTTCATCTCCGATGACAAACGGTGAAGGGAAGAGGGAAAAAAAGAAGCCAAAAAGAAAAAGAGGAAGAAGAAACACCCACACTGAGGAGGGTAAATGTTCAAGAAACTCTTCTCCAAATCCCAATTCCACTTGGATTCCGCTCCAGCGAGTCCCCTCAGTGTGTCCACGCCGATTAACAAGTCATTTCGGGGCGGGGGGCGGGTGGGGGTGGGGGCGCGGCTCTGGCCCGGTCTGCAGCCAGCGGCGCGGGGCTCCGGGCGTGGCGGTGCTGGCCACGGCCGCGCGCTCCTAGGCGGGCATCATGGGCAGTGGGCGCCGCGGAGAAGCGCTACTGTCGCGTCCCGAGCGCTTGGGCAGCGAGTGCGCGGGGAGCGGAGTTGGCTGCAGCCTCACCCGAGCAGCTCACTACTCCTCTGTCAACGGAGAGGCCGACGCTCCGGGGCGGAGCCAAGTCCCGGACTGGATTGCGCGCGGCTGACTCTCCTCCTGCAACCCCGCCTCCTTTGGCTGGCGTCTCCTCCGACCCAGAGGAAAGCTGTGGAGTGTGTGTGTGTGTGTGTGTGTGTGTGTGTGTGTGCGCGCGCGCGCACGCGCGCGAATGCGAACGAGGCTGAGAGAGAGAGAACCTAGGCGCTGCAGGTGGAGTTCTAGGGGCTCTGGCAGCGCCGCTAGCTCCCAGCACCATTCCTGGCCGCGGAGCGCTGGGCGGAGGTCCAGGTGGCGACTCCCAGAGCAGCCCAGCTCCCGTCTCGCCACCCCCACCCTGCCCCAGCTAGGGGAAGAAGATCCCGGACAGCACTGTCGAGCCCTGCCAGATCAGAAAAATAAATAAAAATAGACGTAGTGCAGGAGCGAGTTACAAGAAAGGATTTGGTCATCGATTTTCTTAAATGGAAAAGTTCTAAAGGAGGCGGGTAAGTGAACGGCGAGCCTTTCTGATTCTGATTACTGTATCAAGAGGTGGATCTAGAAATGATGGACGCTCCACGCACCTCAATGCATTGGATAGAAGCCGGTGCGGTTAAAAATACACTCGGAAGAGGAGAACATGGCTATTAGTCTCGCGCATACACACGTTAGTAAAGCATGTTAACTGCAGCACAGAGAATGGGGTTATCAACGACAATCTGTTTTGTAAACTCCTTAGTTTTAAAGTCCACAACGCGACTGCTGTTAGAAATGCGTAAACTTTAGAAATAAGACGCGAACAATGCCGAGAACCCAAGAGCTTCGTGAAAGAGAAAAATCGCAACTCCTTGGAAGGCTCTATTGTTATGATCACATGCTGAGTGGCAGGCACAGCCTTCCTCCGCCGCCCGGACTTACAATAGCCGAAAAGTCTGGCGACCTCGGGGGCCGTGCCAACTGGTGGGACCGCGCGCCCCTCCCCCGGCCGCCGTGCGCCCCCTAGCAACTGCGCGCCCCCGGCTGCTGCTCCCCAGTGGGCTGCGCAGATGGCTCGGGCCGTGGCCATAGCCTTTGAAGAAAGTCACACCAGGCTCCCCAGCAGTTGTCGGAGCAATCTTTCCTAGTCCAGAGGTCGACGGAGGAAATCAAGTTGGGGAATTGGGGATTCAAGTCCACTGAGGCTGAGTGGCCTCGTGTTAGAAACTACCTGCTCCCTAATGGGGGCTAACGCCACTAACGAGACCACTTTCCCTTTTTCTGTTCCTGTATGAACAGGCATCTGCTTAAGAGTGCTCACAAAGAATAAATAAATGCACGAGTGACAAACCACCACCGTCCCCTTTTATTCCACAAACCACTTGGAAAAGGTGGACGAATGGTAAAGGCGATGTCAGCTCCTCTGCTGTTCTCCCCTACCGCCAGCAGGGACCGCTCTCCCCCCCTCCCCTCGAAGGCCAGCGGGACGCGGGGGCGCCGGGGGCGCGGTCCTAGGTGCGCGCGCAGCCCGGGCTCGGGCGGCTCCGGCGGGGCGGGGCGGGGCGGGGCGGGGGGGGGCGGGGCGGGTGGAGGCGGCCACTTCGCTGCACTGCGCGGTCCGGCCCGCGGAGCCCTCGGTTTTCAGCTGCGCTGCAAACACCCAGACGTGGGCCGGTGCCGCGGAGCCGGTGCTGGCCGCCTCCCCACGCTGGTCCCGTTAGGTCCCGCGCCTGAGACCCAGCCTTATTCGCTCCCCCGCTGATTAACATGCTGTGTCCGGGAAAAGTTCTTCAATTGGCAGAATTAGGCAGAGCAAACGAATTGTTTCTTAGACGAACCAAATTAATTCCGGGTTTAGCTCCTTCCCTTGGAGAAACAAACAATTAAGTTGTCTTGTTTGCTTTATGGATATATTGAAAATGCCCCACATCGAGTTTCAGGATATTGTTTAAAGGGAAATTATTTTCAATATTAATACTTGCATATTTAATTTGTAGTAACACTGAGCCAAGAGGCAGAGATTAAATTTACATAATTTAAAACTGTAGAATACGAGAGGGGAGGAATTCGAGTTTACTTTTGCACTGCCATGCAATACCACCCAGAATCTTCCTGGAAGGATTAGATCTGAAACTCCCACCGTCCAGTCGGCCGCCCGTCGTCCTGGCCATGTAGCAGCACATTTCTACTTCCCCGGAGAAGCCGGGAGCAAGGAGGAAGAGCCAGCGCAGGGAGGCTCCCAGAACTCCCCATGGTCTCGTCCCTCCCCCGTGCTGCCCCCTAAAGCCTTTGAGGTCTGAGGCGGAAGGAGCCAATGAGAGAGAACCACAGATTGCCACAACTAGGAGAAAAGTGAGCCGATCTGCAGTTACTGCAGTGCAGTGATTAAGGCTTTGGTCTCCGGAGACTGGGTTATATGTAACTAACTAGCTCGCGATCGGTGATCGTGGGCAGGGCAAGCCGCTTATCCTTCAGGGCACACATCTGTCAGCGGGATTCCTATCATACTCCCTGCCCGAGGGTCGTGCGGATCGCTGGGGTGTGTGAATGGAGAATGACTCTAGGGCACTCACTGCTCAGTAGATGTTAACTAGCATCACTGTCCACCTCCTCACCCTCCACATCAATCCTAATGTCACTTTTTATAGGGGTCAGGTGGAGACACAATGGAAAAAGTGGCTCGCCTTGTGTCAATAACCCAGGGCAGGGCAGGGAGCTACCCATAACAACTCCCTCGATAAATGCTCCCATGACAGCATCCGCTTCCCTCACATCACCTGGGAAGGGTGAGGAGGAAGGTTAAAATAAAAAGAGGGGAACTCACCTAGGATCCCTCAAGAGACCTCCTCCGTGCTAAGACAAAAAGGAGTGGTGAATGGGGAGAACTCTGTGCCCGGCTTACTGTAGACCTGGGCTGTTATCGTTCATCACCAAGAAGCACACTCTCTGTATCCTTGGTCCCTTCTCCAAAGTTTACTCTTACTTTAAACCAGTGGTTTCAAAACCATTTGTGTGTTAGAAATACCAAAGGACCTTTTAAATGTCAGAATTGTCAGGCTCCAGAGGTCCCCTCACTAGGTGTGACCTGGGCACGGGAGTTTTGGAAGCTCCCTAGGAGATTCTGACTTCAGCCAGGGGAGACTCACTGTCCCGTGAATCCTGGAGTGGGGCTGTTGCTTCTCCCTCGCCCTTTCACCCTGGTGTTGAGAGGTAAGGTCCATGTCCTCCTTGGGTCTATGCTGACTTCAGGCCATTTCTTCTCCTTTCAAAACGGTCCAGCCTTTGGTGGCTGTGTTCTACAACTACCTCCAGGCTATGGTCCACAGACCACATAAGACTTAGAGCCAGGCTTACTGTCCTACCTGTCTCGCCTCCTGTTGTCGTTCCAGTTCCAGCAGTGTCAGTATCCTCTGCTGTCTCAGTTGCTTGTCTCTCTCATCTGCACAGTCTTCTCTTCCCCCTCTGCTACTCAGTCTGAACTTCATCCTAGGCTTTATCATCAGAAAGATTCCAGGTCTGACGCACTAATTCTGAGTCCCGCCTCTCTGATCACAGTTCCACGCCTTCCACCCTTCTGCTCACACCCCCGCCCTCACTGCTGGTCTAGATGACCTCCAGACACTGCTACCCATCCACTGCCTCCTTAGCCCCTCCATCTAGCACAATCGCACTTTCTTGGGAGAAATGTCAAGTCCTTTTTCTTCTTTATCTCCTGGTGAACGGCCATCTGACCAAAAGCCAGTTCTATATTATATTAGCATCAGCCTCCTCTGCTCTAGCACTGGAGGGCTGAAGCCTGCTAGGAAAACGTATAGGCACGTTGAACTCCCGACCTCACCTGTATCCTTACCATTATCTTTCCCTCAGTCTCCTCTTCCTTCATCTCAGTCTCTTTCTCCCCTTAGCCAGATATCTCACCCTATCCAGATGTTTTGCCCTCAGCACCTCCCTCTTCCCTGAAAAACACAGTTCACAAGATGGGAGCAATTTTTGCCCCATATTCACTTCTTATCCCTGAAGGCAGCGCTCCTGCTCCGGTGTGAGTGCCGTCCCATCGACACATTCTCAGGAAGTCTGTGCTTGACTTCCAGCCCATCTCCCCCATCTCCTGTCACCATGTGGACAAGCTCCAGTCACTCTCATTTCCGAAACAGGACTCTCCTAACATGCTGGAAGGCCGAAGCAGGAAGATTGCAAGTTCAAGCCCAGCTTGGGTGACTTAGTGAGACACTGTCTCAAAGTAGAAGACAAAATGGGGCTTTTGGTTCAGTCCTCAGTACTGAAAAAGAAGGAGGAGGAGGAGAGGGAGGAGGAGGAGAACAGGAAGAAGGAGAAGGAGAAGGAGAAGGGAAGGGGAAGGGGAAGTGGAAAAGGAGAAGGAGGAGGAAGTTGTTTTCATTTTATTTGAATTCTCAGCAACAATGACCATGACCATTCTTTCCCTTGGGAAGTATTCTCTGCTCTTTTTTGACACACCACTCTCTCCTGGTTCTCCTACCATTTCTCTCTCTTTCTTCCTTTCTTTCTTCTTCTTTTAATTTTGTTTCTCTTTGGAGAAGCTTGAAAGATACGAATTTTGAAAAAATAATATAGCAACATCCCAATTTGCACTGCTCAGAACTAACAGCTATTAACATTTTGTGCCATTTGCTTCTTGTATTTGTTTTAGGAAATAAAACATCATAAAAAAGGTGAATTTCCTTAGAGCCAGCACTTGTTTTCCCCCTCACATACTCCTTTTTTCATAGGTAACACTATACGGCATTGTCTATGCATCTTTACAGTTCACTTTCTACACTTTGCATGTATGCGTCTGAGTCAATATATAGCATTGATTTGGGTTGGTTTCCCCCAAAGTAACATAAATAATATCCTGTTCACTCATGTGATCTTTGAAAAATGCATGTCTGAATGTATCAATCCCCTGCATAAAATACTTCAGAAGCCTCCCTTGGCATCTCCACACCTTAGTCTGGCTTTCAAGGCTGGGCGCAAATTGTTTCTTGCTTACTTCTCTGGTTTCTTCTCTCTGCTGTGCTCCCTGCACTGCTTCCCCTTC